ACCCATAACTTTAATAATGAGAGGAAAAAATCAACAAGTTTTAATCAAGTGGAATTCTATAAGATATTAGACCAATATTCCCCCAAACCAAGATCATCAAGATCATCAAAAGCAAGGGAAGTCTGAGAAACTTCCACAATCAAGAAGGCACTAAGGAGACACTTGAATATAATGCAGACAGACAGTAAGGAAATATGAATAAACCATGCCCTTTAGTTGATAATAATGGATCAAGAATTCCCCTTGACTATTGAGCCATAAAAATCAACAAGGCCCTGGAATTTGAGAGAACATGGACGAATATGGAAGATTTGTTGCTGAGTGAAGCAAGTCAGGCTATGAAAGAGAGATATTATATGTCTCCACTTAACATATACCAACTGTCCTCACTCTATGGTAGGTAATGTAAGACTGGAGAGCATAAAAGTATTAAAAATTGCAATGGGCACTAGAGACAAAGTGGATAGACAGTGTGGGAGGGGAAGAGCATAGAAATTTGGGGAGAAAATGGAGAGGTAAGACACTTGTGGGACACAGATAAGATTTCTTATCTGTTGACGAGGATGTATATGGTGGTCTCAACTGGGCTGAACTGAGGTGTATAGAGTTCTGGGTAAAGTCTCTTAGCAATCTAAATGATGTATAGTGATTTAACGTATTAATAAAAACAAATAAAAGAAAAAAAAGAATTCCCTTTGATATAAAAGCTAGTCCATACTATTGTAAGGCGTTAATAATAGAAGAAACTAGGTGGGAGTAAACCTAAAACTGTTCTAAATAAGAACAAAAATGAAAAATTATCTGTTAATGATAAGAAGTATGGGGACAACTTCGACTGGACTAATATGCAGTATATTCACACAGAGGAAGCTCATTTTATATTCTGTAAAGATGTACAGTGATTAAAAGTAAACACACTTAAAAATACTATGACCATTAAAAAATAAAAGATTATGTAAAATGAAAGCCCATCGGTTGTATAACACCTGTATCCATCAGGACTTAGGTATTGTCTCAGCTTGGAGACTATGCACACAGGATCCCTTGTTTACCTCCAGGTGGGTAATTGCTCCCAGAGAGGCCACTCCTGGGGCACACCAAGCTCTCAGAAACCCGAGTGTCCACCCCAAGGGAACAGACCCCAGTTAAAGGTCAACAGCAAACAAAGGAAACACTGCATAAGAAGAGACGAACTTTTTCTCCATGCTACATGAAGTGTGGACACATCATTTTTAACTAAGAAAGGTCAGGGCCATGCCCTTCAATTCAGTGTGAGTAACTTTCTGTCTGTTGTCCCTTCCTTTTGGTCTACTTACCTATTTTTCCTTCCGGTGTTTCTGAAAAGACAGACTTGTGTTTGTTCTGACCTGGTTTACTGTGGAAAAAATGTTTACTCAAAAATGGCTTTGCTCATGTCTTTCATGGTTTCAGTGTGAAGTTACAAATGCCTGAGGACCTCCCTTGGGTCTGCTCTCTGCTCTATCTGCCCCCTTGATCAGGAGGAAAGAGAAACCAGAGCCCTGTGGTTTGGCCTCTATAGATCAAAATCTAGAAGAGAAGCAAGGAGGGTTTCTTATGATCCTGGTGCAAAGCTATGATGAACAGAGTCACTGCAGTCTGCAGATCCTCAAGCAGATAGGGTACTCAGGGATGGAGAGATTCAGGAGCTTAGATGCTATAGCCAGAGAGTGCCCTTGGGAACTTTGCTGGCTAATTGTAGGTATAAGTGGATTTCTGAGCAGTGGTGTGTGTGGTATTGGTGTTGAGTGAGACCAGTGAGAACCCACAGACAGGGAGCCCTTGGCAGTGAAAGCTCCTGACCTGCAAGCTCAGCACCTCTCAGTTCTTCAGGGATAGATCTGTGGGGCCCTCTGAAGGGTCTGTGGGCTCCTCAACTCTTATATGGATGGGGGCAAAGGGTTAAGAGGGTTACTAAATGAACCAGCTAGAGAAACGATCATAAAGCCTACAACACTTAGTTCTCTCCAGGCCTTCTTCAGTGCCACAAAATAGGTAACTAAGGTCTTATTGTGCAAGCCAGCAATATCTTTGTTCATTACACAGGGGAAAAGACAATCCTTCCTTAAGATGTATGCATAGTGTTAACGCTTTGTTTTCAGATTACCCGTAGCCTATTTTGGACATCAAGGGTGCGTTCTGGGATCATCCCGCCTACCACTCTCTGAGGCTGTCTGGTCGTGAGAAGAAAAATGGGGCTAGCCCTGTTCACCCCTATATTGATTGACCTCCCTACTATTTGGCCTGAGCTGGACCTCGTTCTGACCAAGGAGGTCTGGATGGTAAAAGATGAATCATGGGACAGATGTGAAAGTTGGGTAGGGATAGGGGAGCAGGCCTGGGAACTGGGTATATGTGTGTGCTGGGAGGTCAGGGCCTGGACTGAAGCTGGACCTGTGCCTTTCTTTGCTATTATTCCCTACTCTGGTGCAGCCTGAAATCCACTGAGAGAATAGACTACTGACCCACCAGCTCAGGAGAAGAGG